GAAGGTACGGCATAGGTGATACAGTTAAAGGTACTACAATAGCATTGTGTGGTAACAGATGGTAGCTACAATTTTGGTAAACACAGCATAACATACAGAGGTTTGTTTTTTTTTTTAATTAAGTTATTTTAATGTTTATTTATTTTTGAGAGAGACAGACAGAATGTGAGGGGTGGGAGGGGAGCAAAGAAAGAGGGACACAGAGAATCCAAAGCAGGCTCCAGGCTCTGAGTTGTCAGCACAGAGCCTGACACAGGGCTTGAACTCATGAACCGTGAGATCATGACCTGAGCCGAAGTCAGATGCTTAATCGACTGACCCCCCAGGCACCCCCCACCTACTAACTTGTTGATTGGCTATGTTGTACACAAGAAACTAATGTAACATTGTGTGTCAACTATACTTCAGCTAAAACATAACAAAAATCTAAAAGAAAGAAGAATAAACATGATCAGATTTGTGTTTTGGGATTAACAGACTTTAGAGAGAAGAGTGACCTGGAAACGAAGAAGACTGAATACAGTGTTAACATAATAAGGCCACCAAAATGACCTAAGTAAAAAGACTGTAAATGTGGCTTAGAATGGGCAACTGTGGTGAAAAAGAGCAGACCACCTGGAGATGTTGGGAACCAAGGCTCTCTGGGTGATTGGATAGGGAGGGGAAGAAGGGCAGAAGAGGAGTCAAGAAGGACTTCCAGGTCTCTGGCTTTCAACTACTGGGTGGATAATGGTGATATTTAATAAGACAGGGACCAAGGAAGAACTGGTTTAGGGGAATAGAGAGGCAGAACAGGGGCGTTTGGGTGGCTCAGTCAGTTGAATATCCGACTTCAGCTCAGATCATTATCTCGCCATTTACGAGTTCCAGCCCCGCATCAGGCTCTATGCTGACAGCTTGGAGCCTAAGAGCCTGCTTCAGGTTCTGTGTCTCCTTCTCTCTCTGCCCCTCTCCTGTTTGCACTGTCTCTCTCTCTCTCAAAAATAAATAAAAACATTTTAAATTTTTTTTTTTAAAGTAAGGCAGAATAAACAGATGGAGTGAGTTGTAGGGTGGTATAGTTCAGTGGATTCATATTAGAAATACAGAAGATAGAGCACCTGGGTGGTTCAGTAGGTGGAACATCCAACTTGATTTTCAGCTCAGGTCATGATCCCAGGGTTGTTGGATCAATCCCCATGTCAGGCTCCTCACTGAGCATGGAGCCTGCTTAAGATTCATTCCCTCTCTCTCTCTCTCTCTCTCTCTCATATTCTCTCCACCCCTCACTCCCTCTATACCCCCTCCCCTGCTCTCCCTCAAAAAAAAAAAAAAAAAAAAAAGGTGGCATGCCTGGGTGGCTCAGTTGGTAAAGTGGCTGAGTTTGTGAGTTTGGCTCAGGTCATGATCTCTCCATTCATGGGTTTGAGCCCCGCATCGGGCTCTGGGCTGACAGCTCAGAGTCTGGAGCCTGCTTTGAATTCTGTGGCTCCCTCCCTCTCTGCTGCTCTCCCATTTGCACTCTGTCTCTTTCTCTCAAAAAATGAATAAGCATTTCTAAAAATTTTTAATTAAAAAAAAGGAAAGAAAGAAACAGGGGCACCTGGGTGGCTTAGTTGGTTAAGTGTCCAACTCTTGATTTTGGCTCAGGTCATGATCTCACCATCTGTGAGATCAAGCCCCACGCCAGGCTCCACCCTGACAGCATGGAGCCTACTTGGGATTCTCTGACTACCTCTCTCTGCCCCTTTTGTACACACACTCTCTCTCAAAATTAACTTAAAAGAAAAAAAAAGTAGTTCTTTTACAAATCTCCCAAAAGATAAATAAATCAGCTTTTTAAATGGGCAAAGAATATGAATAGACATTTCTTCAAAAAAACATTGCAAATAGCCAATAATCACATTAAAAGGTACTCAATGTCATTAGTCCTCAGGGAAATATCAATCAAAACCACAAGATACCACTTCAGACCCACTATGATGACTAAAACCAAAGACAGACAACAGCAAATGTTGATGAGGATGTGAAGACATCATATACTGCTGATAGGAATGTAAAATGGTACAGCCACTTTGAGAAAGAGCCTGGCAATTCCTTAATTAAAATGTTAAACATGGAATTACCATACAACCCAACAATTCTACTCCTAAGTATATACCCAAGAAAAATCAAAACATATCCACATGGAAATCTTTACACGAATGTTCACAGAAGCATTATTCACAACAGTCAAAAGGTAGAAACAACCCAAATATCCATCAACTGACAAAATGTGGTATATCCATACAATGAAATATTGTTCAGTGATAAAAAAAAGAATGAACTACTGCTACATGCTACAACATAGATAGACCTTAAAAACGTCATGCTAGAGGGACATGTGGGTGGCTCAGTCAGTTGAGCAATGGACTCTTAATTTCAGCTCAGGTCATGATCTCACAGTTTGTGAGTTCAGGACCCATGTCAGGCTCTGTGCTGGCAGTATGGAGCCTGCTTGGGATTCTGTCTCTGTCTCTCTCTGCCCCTCCACCCCAGCCCCTCTCAAAAATAAGTAAATACAACATTAAAAAAAAAAAATCACGCCAGGGGCGCCTGGGTGGCTCAGTCAGTTAAGCGTCTGACTTCGGCTCAGATCATGATCTTGCAGTTTCTGAGTTTGAGCCCTGCATCCAGCTCTGCAATGACAGCACAGGGCCTGCTTCAATTCTATCTCCGTTTCTCTCTGCTCCTCCCCCACCTCTCTCTCTCAAAAATAAATATTTTTTAAAAAGTCATGCTCACTGAAAGAAGCCAGTCACAAAAGGCCACATATTGTATGACTCAATTTATATGAAATGTACAGAATAGGCAAATGAACAGAGACAGAAAGTAGATTACTGGTTACATAGGGTTGGGGGAAAGGGAGGATAAAGAGGTGACAGCTAAAGGGTCTAGGGATTCTTTCTGAAGTGATGACAGTGTTCTAAATTTGACCGCAGTGATAGCTGCATATATCTGTGAATATACTAAAAGTCACTGAATAGTACAGTTTAAATGGATAAATTGTATCATATGTGAATTATATCTCAATAAGCTTTTAAAAAGAAAAAGTAATTCAGGAATACTCTCTACTTCAGTTGGGCTAGGCTAGGACTCCAACAACCTCAGTCCAGGAATTCCCTATGCAACACAATACCTTAAAATAAAACATTCAATTTTAGTGGCAATAGTTCTCAAAAGGGTACATATTGGAATGAGTTGTAATGCTTTAAAGAAAATACAGATCCCTGGGACAACCCCAGTCCCACTGGATCAAAATCTTTATGATAGTGTATGGATTTATATATATATATTTTTTACATTCCAGAGGTTAAAAGGAAGACAACGTGAGGCTTTTAACAGACATGTTGAGAACAAGTGAAAAAATTTGAATATGGTCTTTATATTAGATGCTAGTATTAAACTGATGTTAAACTTCTTGTATCTGATAATATATTGTTACTTAGGAGACTATCCTTGAGCTTACAAAAAATACTTGTAAGGGTGAGGCACAAAAGGTCTGTAACTTGCTTTGAATTGTTTCAGGAAAAAATATACATAAATACACACAGATAAAACAAATATAAAGTTACAACCAAATCAGTCAACCTAAGTCAGTTTATATGGGTATTCATTGTACTTGAAAATTTCAAAATAAAAAGTTAGGTAGCAGGAAAATTCCCGATTCTCCCTGTAGCTTAAGAGTCACAAACTTCAGGTCAAAAGGAAATCTGACCCAAAAATTAATTTCTCAGTTGCTATAAGAAGATTTCTTCCCCTATCCTCACTTCCCAGGATGGACAAATGGACAAAGCTTTCTAATCCATATGTGCCCAAGATTTATAATCCCGAAGAACAGATGAGATTACATTTTAATGGGAACAAGTGTCTGTTATTGTACCCTGAAAATTACTAGTGTGCTTTGTCCTTTAGAAAGAGGGAAGAGTGTGATTTCAGCAGGAAGTCAATGAGTCCTTCAGTAAAAAAGCACAGGCACTAAAGGTAAAAGAGTAGAAGATGCAATCACAGGCGAAAAAACTGCCCAGACTACACAGCTTAACTTTTGTTAGATCCCGTCTATCATACAAATCCTAGACAAAGAAAAGGCTCATTCTTTCATCCAGGATATACTGAAGTGCCCAGTACCTTATCCTATCCTCATGTACTAAATATGTATATCAAAGAGCTATACACAGAAGCAATCTAACTTCACAAGGTTAAGAATCCTGTTTATAAGGGGGTATCTGGGTGGCTAGGTCGGTTAAAGGTCCTACGTCAGCTCAGGTCATGATCTCGCGGTTCGTGATTTTGAACCCTGCATCAGGCTCTGTGCTGACAGCTCAAAGCCTGGAGCCTGCTTCGGATTCTGTGTCTCCCTATCTGCCCCTCCCCTGCTGGCAATGTGTGTGTGTGTCTCTCTCTCAAAAATAAACAAACATTTAAAAATATATAAAAAATAAAAACTTTAAAAAAAAAAAAAAAAAAAGAATCCTGTCTAGGAGAATGCTCTCTCCCAGAAAAATGCATTCATTCAATCACATTGAATCTTCTTCTTGACTCTCCCTACATGATCAGTACCAGTGATAGCATAAGAGAGCAATCAGAATATATTCCATTAAATTCCACTTTCTAGGGGCGCCTGGGTGGCTCAGTCGGCTAAGCGTCCGACTTCGGCTCAGCTCATGATCTCACGGTCCGTGAGTTCGAGCCCCGCGTCAGGCTCCAGGCTGACAGCTCGGAGCCTGGAGCCTGCTTCAAATTCTATGTCTCCCTCTCTCTCTGCTCCTCCCCTGCTCACGCTCGGTCTCTCTCTCCTTCAAAAATAAATAAAAACATTTAAAAAAAAATAAAAAATAAAAAAAATAAATTCCACTTTCTATACTTCACTTTGAAAATTTAAACTATCTAAATCCTAGAAAGAAAAATAATAAATGTGGCCATGACAAATGACAATCAAGAATTTGTTCATAAAGCAAGGGACCATCTTTACTGACACTTACCAAGCTGGCAGTAAGAGAAGGTGCAGATTGTCCAAGAGACTGGTTCCTCATTCGAACCAGGTTTGATGCTTCTCCTGAAGACTGCCAAGTCACCTGTCCCACACTGCTATGTACACTGCTGGACAAGGGGAGCAGCTGCTTACCTTCAAACACAAGGTTCAGAAAATATACTTGTAATTATTTATTAATTAACAAGTGAAAATACACACTGATATCAAGTGGATAAAAGTATACCAATTCAAAACAAAATGAAGTTCTGCCATACCATTTTAGAATCTGTAACCCTTTAAAAATTCCAACTGCCTTGGGGTCCCTGGGTGGCTCAGTTGGTTAGCATCTGACTCTTGATTTCGGCTCAGGTCATGATCTCATTATTCGTGGGTTCAAGCCCCGTGTCGGGCTCTGCACTGACAGCATGGAGCCTATTTGGGATCCTCTCTCTCCCTTTCTCCCTGTCTTCCTTTCTCTCTCTCTCTTTCTCTCTCAAAAATAAATACACTGTTAAAAAGATTCCAGGGGTGCCTGGGTGGCTCAGTCGGTTAAGTGTCCAACTTCATTCAGCTCAGGTCATGTCTCACAGTTCATGGGTTCAAGCCCCACATCAGGCTCTGTGCTGACAGTGCCGAGCCTGCTCGGGATTCTCACTCTGCCCCTCTCACACACATGTTCTTTCTCTCTCAAAGTACATAAACAAACATTAAAAAAATACAATAAAATTCTCTGTAATATCCACCACCATGCCAGCCCCCAACCCAGACATCCAACCTGCAAGCTAGGAGTTTTCCAGTCTCTTCCATGCTACTTAGTTTCTCACCAACTCAATGCAACATGAGTGAAGCAGGCAGCTTCTCCTAGACAAGTTTGGCCCCTCGGTTTCCAGAAGACAAACACTGGATCTATAATGCTCTGTCTAGACCCCATGTGTTCAGTCCAGGATGACTGACTGCCTTAATCCCAATGAAAGAATACAAGAAAGTCACTTACAAAGACTGAGTATCTAGAATTGCAATGACTTTCCAATTCAAGTGCAAGTCCCATTTCAACCTCTTCCTTCATAATGTTCTTCACATTGCTGCTAGTTATTTAACCAAAACAAATGTGATATCATTCCTCACCTTAAAATATTTCTGATGACTCCTTACTGTTTAAAATAATTAGCCAAACTTTCAAAAAAACTAAAGAGATCCTTGGTGCGACTAGATGGCTCCATTGGTTAAGTGTCTGACTCTTGATATCAGTTCAAGTCTTGAACTCAGGGTCATGTGAGTTCAAGCCCCACACTGGGCTCTGAGCTGGTCATGAAGACTACTTAAAAAAGCAAAAACAAACAAACAAACAAACAAACCTAAAGAGATCCTCAATAAATCCAGATTATCTTCCTGGCCTCATCTCCAACTCTTTTCCACACCCATTTGCTCACTCAACTTCACGTATGCCCTGCGTTTTCACCTGGCTTTATCCTGATCACCCAATTCACTTGAAAATTCTTCCCCTTCCTAGCAAAATCCTATTCAACATGGAAATACCTGCTGTAATAAAGGTGTGAGCAAAAGGAGTTTTTAGTTTTGTTTTTGCTACAACATATCCTTTTATTGCAACAAAATATGATGCAAATTATCTGGAGGGCAATTTAGCAAAACTTATTTAAATTTTAACTCAAATGTTTGAATCCAGCATTCCACTTGTAGGAATGCAGTAAAATGAAAAAAATAACAGTCCAGAATGCTCACCTTAGCAATGCTCACCAGGATAAAACTGGAAATAAGATAAACGTTCATTATAGTTTAAAGAAATTATAATATCTCCACATAATGAAATACTAAACCCATTAAATGAGGCACCTTGGGGTGCCTGGGTGGCTCAGTCAGCTTAGTGTCCAACTTTAGCTCAGGTCATGATCTTGTGGTTCGTGAGTTCAAGTCCCCATGTCAGGCTTTGTGCTGACAGCTCAGAGCCTGGAACCTGCTTCACATTCCATGTCTCCCTCTCTCTCTGCCCCTACCCTGCTTACGCTCGGTCTCTGTCTCTCAAAAATAAATAAACATTAAAAAAAATTTTTTTAAATAATAATGAGGCACCTCAACATGCAGTCAAGAGAAAAATGTTCAACATTTCCTGTTGAGTATAAAAAGCAGAAAGGAAATATGTGGCATACGATTCCAATTTTGATTTTTTTTTTAATTTTTTTTTCAACATTTATTTATTTTTGGGACAGAGAGAGACAGAGCATGAACAGGGGAGGGGCAGAGAAAGAGGGAGACACAGAATCGGAAACAGGCTCCAGGCTCCGAGCCATCAGCCCAGAGCCCGACGCAGGGCTCGAACTCGCGGACTGTGAGATCGTGACCTGGCTGAAGTCGGACGCTTAACCGACTGCGCCACCCAGGCGCCCCTCCAATTTTGATTTTTAAAATAAAAAAGTTTATGTATATTTACATAAATTTTTAAATATATATTTAAATATAATGGAGCATATATAAATAGTTGGAGAGAGGGAGACAGAAGACTAAGAAGAACTTTTCACTTTGATAATAATACAGGTCTTTGAACTCAAATTTTTTATTACTGGTATATCTACTTTTTTTTTAAGATTTATTTTATTTTGAGAGAGACAGAGAGAGAGAGAGAGAGAGAGAGAGAGTGTGTGTGTGTGTGTGTGTGTGTGTGTGTGTGTGTATGAACTGGGGAAGGGCAGAGGGAGAGAAAAAGAGAAGCCCAAACAGGCTCCATACTCAGCACAGAGACCAACACAGGGCTCAATCCCACAAACCATGAGATCATGACCTGAGCTGAAATCAAGAATTGGAGACTCAACCAACTGAGCCACCCAGGTACCCTATGGTATATTTACTTTTTTAATCAAAAACATGCAATGTTTTTTAAAAATCTAGTTATCTTTCAAGTCTGTTCTCAAATGTATGCTTTACCAAAAAGCCTTCCCATAAAACCCTCTACAAAAAGTAAGAATGGTTCTCTACTCAAAACTTCCATAAGGCCAGAGTAGAGACTGCCTGCCTTCTTTCCTTCCTTCTGCAAATGTTGCCATGTTCTCCAGATGACCTGCCTACTCCTCATCTATATATTCTAAAAGAAAGAGATCATTGACTTACCCTATCCACATATACAAAGGCTAGTATCATAGCCCTATCTCCCTTCAAAATAAGGGCTTACTGGGGAAAGGCTTATACATCTACAAAAGAAACCCATTTGGATATATACAAGTCTGGGCTTGAAGCATACCAAGGTTTGCCAAGAATTTGAGGAAAACAAACAACGTAAGAAGGAACAATATGAACAAATGGAGCAACTGGCCTTTTAGTAAAGAAAGAACTCAGAAGAAAAGAAAACTTAAAAATTATAATTATTCTTACAAGGATTCAAAAGGCTAATGTGTAAAATAATCCCAGTTAAAGATGGCTGACTGAGGACATACGTTTATCTTTGGTCACCAAGGACAGTAAATGAAAATAAAGAAGTAAAATATACAAACAAACAAAGGCTATAATGAGGGAGGGGGATTGACTGAGGAAATGAATAAAATTTGGGGAAAATCTAAAGCAGATAGGTGAATCATAACCAATGGAACTGGGCAAAGAAAGACACAAGGTATAATAAGCATAGAGGAAATTGCAGTTAAATGACATATGAGGCTACCCTGCAAAATCTCAGATAAGTTCAGTATTCAGAGATACAAGATACCAAAGAAGATATAAAGTTAAGACATAAAGCTGAACTCAGATTAACTGAAAATCTATAGGCAAACACAACCACATTCCCATATTGTACCACCCAGCAGCCAGACAATCACCTCACAGGATAGAAGGGATATGGGATCTCAGAGCAGAGTGATGGATTCTGGTTGTTAGGTGCTCAAAAGAAAGAGTTGATTCAGAAACAAAACTTTAAAAAAATGTTTTGATACAAAACTCAAAATTCTATTTACTCATACAAAATTGAGAAGGTAACACATCCTTATATTCATAGCATTCTGCTATGAAAAGAACCAAAAAAAATGGCCTTATGTGATTAAATACATGCCTGGCAAAATAACAATTCCAATAAAAAAGTGCAAAGATAAAGCCAAGAAAATAGCCCTGAAATGGGACAAAAATAAAAAGAAATTTAAAACCATTTACCAAGAAGTATGGTGGGGTTTCTTCTCTATTAATCTAATATTTTTAGCTGAGGCCAAACAGATTCTCTTTTAATATTCTATTGATTTCTGAAAATTATGTCACATTTTAATGGTTTCCCATTTGGACTATAACTTCCTTGTATCATTTCTTCCTCTTGAATTTTTTTAAAGACTTTTCAATGGGGAAGGGGGGGAGGCACTACCAGATTTGGAAAGGATTTTGAAAATGGGGGTGGGGGCAGAAAATCAAAAGGAGTGCCTATGTGGCTCAGTCAGATAAACATCTGACTCTTGGTTTTGGCTCAGGTCATGATACATCAGTTCATGAGTTCAAGCCCCACATCGGGCTCTGCACTGGCAGTGCAGAGCCTGCTTGGGATTTTCTCTCTCCCTCTCTCATTGCCCCTTCCCCATTCTCTCTCTCAAAATAAGTAAACTTAAAAAAAGAAAGAAAGAAAGAAAATCAGAAGAAGCAAAGGATGTAAAGTCTACAGAAGTGAGCAGAAAGCAGAAGTCAAATTCAAAGAGAATAACCAGTGACAGTGGTCAACTAGGAGATAACTAACAGGCCCAGGAGGCTACCATTCAGACACCACCAGGACCAGTAAAGAGAGGAAGATAGCCTTACCCTTAAGTGTTTTATACAAAACTACCACAGAGAAGATGACAAGTCAACTGATATACCCTTAAATATTGACAACGCAGTCCCATATTTCTTAAAAAACAAATTTAGAGAGGCTCCTGGAAGGTTCAGTTGGTTAAGCATATGACTCAAGTCATGATCTCACACTTCGTGAGTTTGAGACCCACATGGAGCTCTGCACCAGTGGTACAGAGCCTGCTTGGGATTCTCCCTCTCTCTCTCTCTCAAAATAAATAAATAAAGGCTTTAAAAAAAAAAAAAATTAGCTACTCACCTGACAGAGAACTGGCCAGGCTTCCTCTCCGCAACTTACAGTCATCCTGACTAAGTTGTCGTTGAAGTTTAGCTTTTCCAGTGGATGAAAACAGGTCAGGATTACTGAGCTTCCTGAAAAGCAGGGGACTAAGTCCAGTTATCACATCCTTCAAAGAAAAAAAGGTAAAATATAAAGTCTTTAAGGTCTTTTCTGAAAGTATAAGGACTTTATATTAAACATTCATTACAGTTAAATAGTGCCAGCATTTTATACTTCCTGATCAATAGCTAAAGCCAAAAACATATTTCTTAGTAAAAGCTGTTTGGGTATGCTATGAAGGCTACAGGACACTGATTATAAATGCAAAAGAAGGGACGCTTAGGTGGCTCAGTCGGTTAAGCGTCCGACTCTTGACTTCGGCTCAGGTCATGATCCCACTGTTTCTGGGTTCAAGCCCCGCATCAGGCTCTGCGCTGGTGGGGTGGAGCCTGCTTGGGATTCTCCCTCTTTCCCTCTCTCTCTGCCCCTCCCCCACTCACTCTCTCTAAGTAAATAAACTTTAAAAAATAAAATAAATAAAAATAAATAAATAAATAATAAAATGCCAAAGAAAAAACGGGGGGGAAGGCTGACAAGATGACACGTTAAGACATTTTGACAGGATGTATTATTCATAATGAGTACGTGTCTAGTTATGTTTATTTATTTTCCTCCTTCTATTCACTCTTCCTATATATCCAGTAAAGAAAAGCATATTTTAGTTTTTAAAAAAAAACATAAATAGCAGACCTTCCTTTACCTGATATACAAGGTTAGAAATGCCTCTAACATTCAATTAATGCTAAAATAAGATATAGAGATTTCTTTATAGGTCAAATAGGAGCTGAATACATGTTTCAATGAAAAAGCATAATAGTACTATGGAGAGGGGTGCCTGGGCGGTCAGTCAGTTGACCATCCAACTCTTGATTTTGGCTCAGGGCATGATCGCAGGGTCATGGAATAGAGTCCCACGTGAGGCTCCACACTGGGCATGGAGCTTGCTTGGGATTCTCTCTCTCTCTCTCCCTCTGCCCCCTCCCCAGCTCACACACACACATTTTTTGAAAAATTTTTAAAGTACCACGGAGAAAATACAGATAATATGAAACATTGACAGAGCCTCCTCCCATTTGTCTTTATTTTAATCCAGCTCATCCTGCTCCATCCCAATGCCTGTTCCTCTTCACTCAGTAAGCAATGTCAACTCTCTTCAAGATTCAGACATTTTGAAGCAAACATGCACCTCATTGGCAGCATTGAAAGAGAAACTATTTTTAAAAAAATAAGGCAAATGAGACATATCTTTCACATTTCAATGAAAGAAACTAAAACAAATACAGGTAATTAGCACATCAAAGTGATATGGACAGGACAAAGACAAAATGAGAAACATAAGAAATAACTACAATCTATGTTACCTGCCATTTGAAGAATAAGACTCAAACAACTAGTAAAAGCCACAGGGGGGGAGAATGGGAAAATGCCAACCTTCTTCAGATTTAAAAAAAATAAAAACCTATAAGGTCATACACTGTGATTGGTGGGTTCACAAACATGTTCACAAACATAATACTGGTTGGTGGTGCCTATCCAGAATATAATTTACAAATGCCCCAAAATAAAAAAAGTTAAATAAAAATAACGGTTAAATAAAAATAAAAATAAGAGTAAGTTAAATAAAAATAAAATAAAGAAACAAGGAAACAGTATTTTTAAATTGGTAGTAAATGGATAAAATGATGAAGAGGGATATTTAGGCACTGTATCATTAAAGCAAATGGTGTAAAGATAACTATAACAGAAGTTAGCAAGGAGAAAGGGAAACTGGAAGCAGTAGCTAATACAAAAAGAGAAGACAGCAAGATAGCACTGTATATTCCCACCATCCGGTGTGTTAAGGATGAAATACCACCTATGCATCAAGGAGAAAGCATGGAAGGAAGCAGGGTTTGGGCACTAATGCTGATAACCAACCAAAAAAGGCCGGCCACTCACAGAGGCAACACCCCAGCATGCAGCTTTAGGTGGAGTAAGGAAGCATTGGAAGATATCAAGCTGAAGTAATATCCTAAATGAAGACAATAGGGAGAGGGAAAGGACTCATCCCCAAAATAACTTACAAGCCAACCACATCAGGAAGCCAGCACTGGGATGCCTGCTACACTGTATGGATGAGCAATTAGTCTTAGCCAGAAAAGGAACAACAACGAATACAGGACTAGAGCAGCACCAATTAAGAGCAAGTCCTAGCCTTTTCAATCTCCCTATTCCCTATCATAATATACCATAGAAAAAAAAAAAAAGCCAGAAAACAGAAAAAAATAAATAAAAGTATATCACATCCCTTCTTCTTCCAAGACTCACCTGTCAAAACCTTGCAAAGGGAAGCAAATATAAATTAAATTGGATAAGAAATTTAATTTTTAAACAATTTTATTTTTAAGTAATCTCTACACCCAATGTGGGGCTCAAACTCAGAACCCCGAGATCAAGAGTCGCATTTCCACCAACTGAGCAAGCCAGAAGCCCCTGAAATTTAACTTTTAAATTAGTATGTCTTTTTTTTTTTACTGAAGTATATTAGTCATTTCAGAAAAGTACATATATCCAAGCATATAACTCAATGAAGTTTCACAAATTAAACATACCTATGTAACCAGCATCAAGATATATATTTAAAAAAAAAAAAAGACATAACCAAGCACCCCAAAAAGCCCGCTGTGTTCCCTTCCAAGCACTACCCAGGCTTCCAACAGAATAGATTATATAAAGTGAAAAACTTGGGGCACCTGGGTGACTCAGTCGTTTAATCATCTGACTCTGGATTTCAGCTCAGGTCATGATCGCAGAGTTCGTAGGATCAAGCCCTGCCTCACTCAGGCTCTGTGGTGACAATATGGAGCCTGGTTAGGATTCCTGCTCTCCCTCTCACTCTAATTTTGCCCCTCCCCTGCTCATACTCTCTCTCAAAAATAAACAAACTTTTTTTAAAAAATTAATAAATAGGAAATCTTTATATGAATGGAATCAACTAGCCTGGACTTTTTAAAACTAAATTTACCCAAGAAGTCATTAAGGGACAGGATAGAATGAAGCAAATAATACAAAATCACATATAATCCAACAGAGAAAGAAAAAGTGTATAGGAGGTAGAACTTCCTTACTAATTTCCATAATAACTTCATATAGTTCTCTAGTTTCCATTCTAGTCACTTATGAGATCCATCCAAGCTGCATGTTTTCAGGTTCTATGGGATCCATTATACCCTTTAAACTCTTCCTTTTGGCTCAAACTAGATTAAATTGGTTTCTATAGTTTTTACAATCAAATGATTCTTAAGCAAATTAGGGAGTTAAGGAGGGGAAAGAGTCTAGGAAGACTTAGAGGCTTCTGGCTTGGGTAGTATGCTTATCAAGACAGGGAATACAGAAGGAGAAACAATTTACAAATAAAACACTGCTCTGACAATAGTAAATATCAGCATTAACTATACATCATAGTACTTTTCCAATAACTATTAGGGGAACTATAAACATTTAACCTGAAAGAAAGAAAACAAAGGAGACATGAGTAACTCTCTAACTACATGAGTGCTATTTCTTACATTACAGGAAATTTCTAACTTCTGAGGACAGAATTAGAACTAATGGATGAAATTAAGGTCATGATCTCACAGTTTGTGAGTTCAAGCCCTGCATCAGGCACTGAGCTGACGGCACAGAGCCCGCTTGGGATTCTCTCTCTCTCCCTCTCTCTCTCTGACTCTTTCCCGCTCTCAAATTCTCTCTCTCTCAAAATAAATAAACTTTAAAAAAAAAAAAGAAGAAGAAGAAGAAGAGCTAACAGTCAACAGGCCACCTTAAAAAGGAAGGGACTGTGCCACCAGAAATACTGAAAAAGGTGAAAGCTGACCTAAAACAGTAATTCTCAAAATGTGGTCCCCCATACCAACAGCACCAGCATGACCTGTGACCTTGCTAAAAAATGCAAAATCTCAGGCTTCACCTCAGACCTACAAAATCAGAAATTCTGACAGAGGGGACCAGCAATCCATGTTTTAGCAAGCCCTCCAGGTGATTCTGAAGCACATGAAAGTTTGAGAACCACCAGACAAGGTCAAAAACTTTCAACATGATCCCACCAACACACAAATATACCAATCAGTTGTGAGGACTGTATCACAAATTACTTAAAATTTAAATAAAGTACTTAAGTTTGCAACCACTTTAATTAAATGAAAGCAGGTTCTTGGTAAACTCTACAATAAAGTCAATTCACCTGTCAATACAACATTCTTCAGTGAAAACTTTGAAAGGCAGAATTATAGCAAGCATCCCAGAAATTACACATAACCTATATTTATTTATGTAACATTATAACAATAACATATTTAACATATGCCAGGTAAAGTTCAACTGTCAAAAAAAAAAAGGGGGGGGCTGAAAATTGCTTGACTACACAATCTCTACATTTTCTTCCCAACTCTAGGAGCTTCTTGCTTTCTTTTTTAATTATGAGTACTGAGTTGTGCCCATTTTGCCTGTTGCCCTGGCAGCCCTCACAGAGACTTCTCTCTTTTGGCTCAAAACCATCTCCCTCCTCCACAATACCAAAGCAAATCTCACACTAACTTTACCCACAACGCTAGTGTTGTGCTTACACTGTACTATGCTATTAGGATAGGATTCAAAGGAAAGGATTCACAGCTGAAAAACTGAAGTCTACACAACTAAAAACATTTGTACCAGACTAAAAACCTGGATTAACTCTCATTGGGAGTTGTCTTATCCCAAATGACTGGTAATCCAGTAGGTAAAGAGAATTCTATACCTTGTGGCAGATTCTTCCTGATCTACCCAACAAGAGTCAAATCCAGGTGCCACACTAATCAAAGTCCATCCTCTTAATCCCTATCAAAAAACCTTTGCTTGATTATCTATCTATAATGAACTTTGACCCATACCCCAAGCATATCAAACACAGACATAAATTAACTCTAAATGGATCATGAATCAAACTGTAAAACCTAAAACAATAAAACTCAAGAGTAAATTTTTGTAAGTTTTAGAGTTCTTAGATAAGATACAAAACACAAGTTTAAAAAGAACAAATTTGTAAATTGG